AAAATGCCAAAAGGGAAACTAACACACAGGCAACGCCGTGTCGGGTCAGCTAGTAATTAATAAATTAATAATTATATAAGTAAATACAAGTTAAAATATTCAGAACAAATTACTAACTTTGATGATTCTGGGCTAGTTATAGACATCCAATCCTCAGATAATTCATCATCAACAGCAAGGGGAGCATCATCATCGTCTTCTTCTTCATCATATTCTTCATTTTCAAAACTGAAGCCATCATCATCGTGCAATTTCACAACAAATAGTTCTTGAGGCCAACATTCTGTCTTTTCGCCATTTACCCACATTACTAAGATCTAATTCAATAACATGTACACATGAGAAAAAAGAAAACAGATACAATAAAAATAATATATGTATATTCAATAATAAATAGTTTAAAAACTTACCCTGCCATCAGGTCCAGCACTTAATACTTGTCCAGCAGTTAAGGTATTTAAATCTGGGTTGGTATCAGGGCTAATATGTATAATAAGACAGCCAGATTTAAAATGAAAATCAGGATGATCACGTAAATCATATACACTAAAATCAGTCTTTTCAATAGGATTTGGTCTACAAAAAAAATTATTAGATTTGAAAATTGTTCTTTTTAGTAACATCATTTAGTTTTTCATACAATGAAGGATTTTCAGGATGAACTTTAAACCATTGAACACGGGCAGTGCGTTCAGCATGGTCAACACATTCTATAACTCCATATACATCTGGAGGTGAATTTTTTTCAGTGACAAAATCACCAGGAAAAAATTCCAAATCATCAAGCGTTTGCACTGGATATAGATCAGTAGAAGATACTCCCGTTTCTCTCGAACCATCCTATTAATAAATGTATCAATATTATTTAGCTTATAAATTATAAATATACAAATTAAATAACAGATATTAATTTAAATTTAAAACCTAGATTGACTAGATAAAATACTATAATGTTCTGAATATTTAAAATATAATAAATTTAGCATTCTTCTCATGGTCAGATTGAAAGCTAAAACCTTACTGGTCCTAAGAAAATTCTTCTTCTTC